TCCCCCAGCAAGGTTCTCCCTTCCAGGTGGACTAATTTTGCAGATCCTGTCTAATTAAGGACCCACCTCAATTTACATCTTAAGAAGAAAGAACTCTTGGAATGTCTCTTCCAACAGGAATCATTATTAAGAGAAACTGATTGCAGGCATGCTAAACTAGATCTGGGGATCCTCTCCCACCATTCAATGTTTTAAAGTGTTCCCAAGCAGCCCCCACCCCACAGTTCTTCTGGGCGATTCAATCCGTCAGTCCGCTCTGTCAGCAGGATCACTCATTCTCTGTTTTTCCACATCCCAGGCATTGCATTCCCCCCTTTTCCCTCACTGCCGGCAAAGAGGAGAAGTTCAGAGGGAGCAGGATGAAAGGCGATGGCCGCATTGTTATGGTTAGTCCTCTCGAAGAGAATCAACAGCTGGTCACTTTGTAGTTAATGAAGGAAGTGAGAGTCATAAAACCCTCATGCTTACCTTCCTCCCCTTCCGTAGTATGACAGAATCCAGAAGAGAGTAAGAATTGGTTTTATATCAGAGTAGGTAGATAGAAATGAAATATAATTGGATTCTGACAGGACCTTTCCCCATTGTAAAGATCATTAACCTGGTCATGGTGGAATTAAAACTCCCTAAACTCTTAGGAAAAATTCACCCTGTTTTCCATTGCAGCCTGTGGAAACCTTATTGGGGTTCCACTTTAAGACCTACCCCTAAGAGGGCACCCGGGCCCCTCATGGTAGCAGAACAGACTCACTATGAAATAAAGCATATTCTTGATTCTATAATTTTTAAAGGGCAATTGCAATATTTAGTACAAAGGAAGAGATATTTGTTGTCTGAAGCCACTTGGGTGAAGTCTAGCGATGTGAAAGCTGTTAAAGACTCATTAACAGGTTTTATAAGAAACATCCTTATCAAACAAATCGAGAGGCAATTCCTAACCTGTGTTTTTGGTTAAACTACAGGATTTATCCTTTTTGTAAGGGGGGCCGGATGTCAACGCTGCTAACATTGGATGTTTTTGCATTGACAACAAGGGAAATGTAGCCATCTTTTACCTTTTGCTTTTAGAGTTAGATGATGCTGGGAGGGTGGATGTGAACGAGAGTTCAGCTAGACATAACAATTCAATTATGCAGTGCCGAAGTTATGCTACTCAAAATAAAGACTCTTTAAGGTAAACAATGCCTTGAAGTTCTTTTGAAGAGTTTCATCTCTTGGAACCATGACATTAGGTTTATTTTTTAATCATAGAGTAAGAGATAGCTTGTATTTGCTGAAAAAGAAATCAAAAGCTCCTTCCTTCCCTCCCTCTCTCCACCTCCTCACCTTCTCCTTCTCCCTCCCTCCCTCCCTCCCTTTCTTCCTTCCTTCTCTCCCTCCCTCCCTCCCGGTATTAGTTTGTGTTTGTTATGTTCTCTGTAAAACCTTTAATAAAATATATTTTAAAAAGAGTAATATGGGTAAAATGTCTTTGCATCTTTGAATTATCTGTTATCATGGTGATTTCATCTTGTAATTTTAATATCATTTTTTCTCTTTCCTCAATTTATATGCCAATCATTTCTCTGGCCTATTTGCAAATTCAACATTCTTTTGTTTTGCATAATTTATTATTACTTTCATTTCTCTTACTGTTAACAGGAACAATTGTCATTGTGATTTTTTGATTTAATGTAAAGTAATTTTCTGGGGATTTTTTAAAATACTTCTTTCATTTTTATCTCATCTAAAATGGCTTGTGTTTTCTTTTGTCTCATTTTTAAGCTTTCTATTATGTTATGTAAAATGTCTCCATAAAAACTTCACTTGCAGACTTGCAGATACAGACTCCTTGGGTCTGTATCTTTATTAAGATTATCACACACACACACAAATTTAACTCTTTTTTTGCAACATCCAAGTATGTATATTCTCACTAATAATATTCTCATATGTATCAGAATTTTTGGGTCTCCACACATCTACAAGATCTATGTTGTCTATGATATCCAATTATATCAAATTGGAATTTACCTCATGTCTATTTTAATATCTTTTTCAGAAGTTCTATTCACAAGCTGATACACTTCTTTAGCCTAAAATAACCAAATTTCAGCCATTTATGATGATCCACAATGTGTCATGGCTACTTTGTTGCCATTCATAGGCAAATGTCAAGAGAGTTGCCCTTAGAAATGTTTCAAATGATACCTATTTTGAAAAAAGATGCTAATTTGGATGAATGGCAGAAGGGTATTAATAAATTTATTTGGGCGGGGAAAAAACCAAGAATTAAATTTAAGATCTTACAAGATGCACGGGAAAGAGGAGGACTTAAGGCGCCTAATTTGAAATTATACTATGATGCGGTGGTTTTAACATTGGTTAGTGATTGGCTTAATTTAACAAATAAAAGTATACTTCATCTAGAGGGATGGGACTTATTATATGGTTGGCATGCATACTTAATTTATAATAAAAAAGTTGACAAGGCTTTTAAATCTCATATTTTAAGAAGTGCTTTATTGCGTGTCTGGAAAAAGTATTATTATAAGTTAAATTACAAAATACCAATCTGGGGGATTCCTGGACACGTGATAGAGGGGGTATCTATGGGTGTGAATTTGGATAGGATTTCTTATAAGGAATTAC